GAGAGGATGAAAGCAATGAGGTTTACTTCAGCTGGCCCAGGATGATTGTTTCGTCCAAATACATCATGGTCCAAAGTTTGAATGAAACTCGAAGGCATGGTCGTATTCCAAAACGGGATCAATGAACGCCGAATCTTTCGCGAACTTTGCACTTACATATTGAATCATACGTTCGTGCGTGCTATTGTAACAATATGATTTGATCCCACGGTTCTTCTAAGTTCTGGTTAAGGGGCGTGATGCGTGACGTGGGCGGAGTCTACGGAGTGACAGAGTGACCTCAATTTCCCGCACGTAGGCGTTCAGTCCCAAATCCAGAAAGATTCATTTATGGTTATGAGCTTTTGCTTAACTTCGATTCTTTTCTTTGAATATGGCATTATTTCTTTTGATAGATCGCCAACTTTCATGTAATCCGTATAGGCCTAGTCACCTGGTTCATTGCATTCAAATTCAATGTGGCCTCTTCTTCGGATTGTCCCCCTGAAAGGAACATTATACCGGGTACAGCTGGAGGTACAGTTCGTAGTAACGCTGTAACAGTCGCGTTTGCAATATCCTCCGATGTCGGTTTTGGCCCTTCGAAATCTCGTCCTGGAAGGATCGTTTCGTCATTTTTAATATGGTAATCGACAGTTCTACAAAGTAACTTATTCACTTACCTGCAGTCACCATATTTGGCTTTAACAGAGTTCCTTCCAAGTAGACATGATGATCGTTTAGTGCCCTGGAAAAGATGGGAAAGTTAACAGAAGATTCGTTTTACATACTATATAATTCATGTACCGATAACAGTAAGACAGCACTAATTCCGTAGTCCTCTGGCAGGTTGCTAGGTCATGGGATCCATCGGTCAAAATCTCCGGTTCGATCATCGGCACCAGACCGTTCTGCTGGCATATTGATGCATATCGGGCAAAAACCTCAAGTAAACTCAGTTAGAGGGCTGGAAGAAATAATTAACGATTCAAAACATCCTGATAATGCGGTTTTTTACTTCATAATGTAATATGGCAGGAAAATGCATGGAGGGAAACAGCTTCAACCTAATACTTTAGCGTAAAACGGCATCTCGTTTCGTTCTTTGCTCCGTAATGAAATGTTACCTAACATTC